ACATTAAGTTGAAGCCTCGTTTCGAGTAAAAAGTGTTATTAGTCTGCTATTTTATGCTGGTATTTTGTGAGAGCGTGGTTCTACTCTGATCGAGCCGACTCATTACGTGGTACAACCAAAATATAGCTGCAGCGTGGCTCTACAACGTATAAAAGATCTCAAAATATTTATGTTTCTTACACACGGTAGAGCCACGCTGCAGCATAAATAGGTCGGCGCGATCGAAGAGGAACCATGCTTGCATGAAGCTGCCGAGTTGCGTACGAAAATTAGGAGAATCGGAAATCTTTAACTGTATACGAGGCATTCCATTTTAGCACACAGGCGTGACAACTCAATCACATTTTGATTCTTAGTCGAAAGCGATGTAGAATAGACATATACGGGCCCGAGCCTCTCTTTACCACTAAAAGATTCTGTGCTCGTTTTTCATTCGTGCCTCTATTTAAAAAAAACTGTGGAAATGTTATCTATTGCAAAGTACTTAAAGGATAAGACAATAAAATTTTGGAAAATCCAAAAGTGCACGTCTCATAATCTCATTTGATTATATAAAAAGAAAAATATCTCTTTTTCCATATTTGAGACGAAAGAAGAGATCCATGACAATATTTTTTTGTACAAAAGTACCAGTTGCTTTTTACATTTTCATTAATTAATAATTAATGAAGTTGTATAAAAATTAAGCGAGACCAAATTATTCAGTGATTTTAAAAGGAACCTGTGCGGAGAGATTCTAAACCTAATGAAAAAATAATTATTTTGATAAGTACATTAATTCTAACGACCGTAATCGTGCGGCATCCACGACATCTGGACACCCTCGAAACTTTTTTTCCATCAGTTTATTTTTACACGAAATACAGAAAATTACTTTTAAAAATAATAGAAACATGAGAACGACTGACTTTTCTCGACATATGTGTATTTTTATTATTGTAAAAGTGCAATAGTAAAAAATAGACATTTTTAGGGCAGAAAATTACTGGATTTCCATTAGGTGAGAGTAGAGCACAACCTCAACGTTTCGCTTATGAGGCGTGCAATAGATGCTCTTATACAAAATTTTGCAAAGAATCTTATTCTCCTCCTAAAGATTCACCATTTAAATATCGGTTGGTATGGGTCTTTTTTCTATACACAGTGTGACCAATTGAGGAAGCGCAAAGATCTTAAATCAGGCAAGTAAAAAGTTGTTACGAACGGTGATTCAGCAGAAACGGTTCGATTTACATTTCATAAACAACACCATAGACAATTTGTTCAGTGAACTAAAGACAGTTTTAACGACATTTGATTTTAATAATTGCATCGAAACTTTAAACAAACGAGAAACAGCAAAATACAATGAATGCAAAAATAAACAAATAGAAAAATACCAAAAATTAACGATCAAATCAAATGCCAACCATCTAAGTCAACGTCAGAACGAAACACAACCGTTGACCACAGACGCAAACAATAAACAACGCACGGTCTATAATCTGTCAAAACATACACTGGACGAACCAACAATAAAGGTGTTAGCGAAAGGAATGAATTTCGCATTAACACCGCGAAAAATCCCGTACGAAGAAATTATCTGCAGCGTTGAGGATTGTGTGTTTGAGAATAATATTGGTAAGGAAGATTTGGAGGCTATACGTCAAGATATTTCGTCCTTGTTACGTCGTAGTTCAGTGCCGAAACCAAACCTTCCTAAAGACGAATTTACAGCGTTGATTAACTTACGGAACAGACCAGATCTAACGATTCTCCGCGCGGATAAAGGAAATGCTACGGTAATAATGGACACGTCAGAGTATAATTTTAAAATACTACAGCTTTTATCGGACGAAAGTACATACAAAAAGGTCAAAACAGACCCCACAACTAACACGCTTAAAGCAACTAGCGATTTAATAAAGAAACACTCCGAAAAATTAAATCCCGACGTGAATTCGCTAATACCATCATGTACCAAACCACCGAGGTTGTATGGGTTACCAAAGATACACAAACCAAACGTTCCACTACGTCCTATAGTGAGCCAGATTGATTCCCCAACTTATAAGCTGGCACAACACTTGGTAAAAGTACTGTCACCACTGAGATAACATACCAGAGCACCCACAAAGGATTCATACCATTTTGTTAGTGAGATAAAAGACCTACATCTCGCTGACAATTAAACTATGGTCAGTTTTGATGTTCAGTCACTATTCACATGCATACCTATTGAAGACTGCATATCAATTGTAACTAGGAAGCTAGAATATAATAACATGCATGCTGAATATGCAGTATTACTCAAACACTGCCTCACATCTGGCTATCTATTGTGGAAGGAGGAGTTCTACAAGCAAGTAGATGGTGTGGCGATGGGCTCACCTGTATCTCCCATAGTCGCTGACATATTCATGGAGGACTTCGAGGAGAAAGCCCTTCTTACTGCTCCTGTAAATCCAAGATTCTACAAGCGGTACGTAGACGACACTTTCACAATTTTACCATCTGACAAAGTAACTGCATTTTTAAACCACCTTAACTCTATAAACTCTAAATTCACAATATAAAATAAATTCACAATGGAGTTAGAGGCAAATAATTCTTTAGCTTTCTTAGATGTTTTAGTCATTCGAAATCCTAATAACACAATTGGTCACACTGTGTATAGAAAAAAGACCCATACCAACCGATATTTAAATGGTGAATCTCACCATCATCCTTCACAGTTAGCTACCGTGGGTAAATCTTTGTTTCAGAGAGCACGAGGGATCTGTGACAGAAAACATCTGGCCGCCGAACTTCAGCATGTCAAGCAAGTATTGCAAGACAACAAGCTTCGGGTCCCGCGCCTACGTCACAGTGACCGAGTGAAGCCAGCCACAGTCGAGCGTGTACCTGCTGTACTACCATATGTCAGAGGAGTCACAGACAAGGTTGGCTACATCTTGAAGCGAGCTTCTATTAAAACATACTACAAGCCGCCGAAGAAGATTAGTCAATTTTTACCATCCGTCAAGTGTAATATCCCTCTACAAGATGCAGGAGTGCACAAGTTAGATTGTGAATGTGGTCTCTCTTACATAGGTCAAACAAAAAGATCCATAAAAACCCGCGTGAAAGAACATATAGCTGACGTGAAGCACCGACGCTCCGGGAAGTCTGCAGTCTGCGAACATGTTCAAGATCGTCCCCACCATTACATTCGTTTTGATAAACCACAAATTCTCGCAAAAGAACACCGATTCCTACCAAGGATGATACGCGAGGCTATTGAAATTAAAAAACATCCAAATTTCAATAGAGAAGATGGATGGGTGCTGCCACCTGCTTGGGATCCTATAATTAACAAAATTAAACCCAAACCTAAGCATACCACTGCAAGACTTCATGATACTATAAGCTCGTTTTGCGTAAATCGGACCAAAAATTAATATTCAAAAACTGAAGGTAGCCGGACTAACTATGACATTGGGACGTCAAACATCTCAGTCCCCCCCGTGACCATGGTTGCTGTAAAGCACCCGAAACGTCGGGAATTAAAAATAAGTAAAAGTAGTTAAATAAACGCGATAAAATCCGTAAATTTAGTTTTATTCAATGTGTAGGGTTCGCGTAAATTTAAGAAATCATTACGTTCAGGTGTCATTAGATTTTTTTAAATATTTTAGGATAATGTTGGAACACCATTCCACTTCAGATTATTGAGCCTGCTACTCCTCCTTAAACTGAAGAAGCAACAATATAAATAAAACAATTATTTTTCGCCTTATTTAATTGAAACTTTTAATTATAATACTATACTGTACAAACAAATAAGATATACTAAGTAGAGTGGGGGACTAATATAATCGTATAGAAGCTAAGTAATATTTTTATTATTTACATATAAATATTTTTATCTTTGACATCACTACGTACATAAGATATTAATTTCATTAATCTATTGTATTATTAAAACCCACTCATACAACGTAAAGATAATTTAAAGCCTTATTTTGTAAAATATATATTATCATTTGTTTCGATTCATCAGATCACTTATTTAACCACGTAAATTACTGGACGGATTATAATAAAACTTTGCCCGTAATACCACAGAGTAAATAATAGTTGGTAAAACCTAAGAATACTATAATACAACATAATACATAGAACGAGGGAGTGGGCGGAGCCCGCGTAGCCACTAAAAAGTCACTAGCACGTCAATTCACACGTGTAAATGTCAACACGAGATGTGTTTTGACGTTACAATCGTTTTCAACTTTCGCATGCAAATTATTTAGAAAATGCCAAATAGCACCCCATTTATAAATATCTATGTATTAAAATTTAAACGATTTTTTTTCATGACGATCTTGAAAATTAATCAAAAGTCTAAAATGTGTAAATTTACTCAGTCTGTCAACACAGCGAATCGGGTTTGGCGACGCCAATCCTCGTATAAAATAAAGTTGACAGCCATTCTATTGTGTATTATAGTATTCTATGAGTAATACTGCAATATTACCGAAGTTTTCTGAGACTTTTTATCGAACTCAAACCTACTTCAACTTAACCTTTTTCAAAGTCTCAGATTTAAATTTAGAAGTTACAGCGTACAGTATATACGTCCCACCGCTGGGGCACAGGCCTCCCCTCATTTCTGAGAGGGTTTTAGTACAAGGAAACTTCCGCCGCGCATCCTCAGGATAGTTCACATATCTTCGAAATATTTTTTTCTTATTTCTCAGACATGCAGGATGTTTTCCCTCACGTTGTTTTCCTTTACCACACGAGTACGTAATAAATTAGCACTTAGAATTAACAATTAACAAACTAATTGGTGCCAGCGGGAATCGAACCCGGGTTTGCTCGCGTACTGTGAAATTTACAGCGAACGCTTAGCCCCTGAGCTACCACGGCTCAGATTTAAGATATATTTTATTTTAAGCTATCACTGATCAGCTGAGATACAGCTGAAAGTGCAAAAACTGGCAAATTGCTTAACAGAGTCATCATTTTTGGATATCGTTCTATAGAAATATGTCAGGATTTTCCCTTAGCAGTTTGGCGTCGTCGGGGCAATACATAATGATGTTACCGACGGTACACGGCCTCTCGCAGCACTCGCTTGCGACCTGCCGACGTACTCTTCTCCAGTGCTCTTCGGTAAGTAAACGTTGTTTATACATGCCCTTTTGAAGATCTTTCGGTGCCATTTTCGCTGAAAATAAAATAAAGTTGTTTTTGCCTGTGATAATTTTAACAAATAATCATTCGACGGCACCAGCATAAAACTGTAATTATAGCGTATTCGTACGTATATAGAAGGACATTTTTATTTTGTATACATACCAATCATGAGTGTTGTATCCCTTTTTACAATTTTAAATTCATTATTGCAGACATTGGCTATAAGCAATGATAGCCATTTGCTGCAGCTGAATACTCTATCGGTCATTTTGTAAGTTTTACCATTTTCCATTCCATATGCGATACTATTTTGTCCATTTAACAAAAGAACAACGTACAGCTGGAAACAAAACAATAAATTGCCATATTACTAATATAATTTACTTAAATGTTAGATAATTGGTATCAGTAGCATTTGTTCTATTTTGAGAAATGTCCTAATTATGATAATAGTTCGTCAACATCCGAATGCATTTCAGACTATTAATATTCTATATCATTTAAATATTTGTATGAAGTCAATAGTGCATTATTACCTTGAACTAGATAAACATCTTTATTTTGAAATTTAAATATTTTTTAATAATACAACATAGACTTTTATACCTGTTGTATAAATTATATACTTTTATAAATTTTAACATACTACTTAAATTATGTCTCTGGAAATATACGACTAATCCCTTCAGAGGACGAGTTAATTGTACGGTGGTGGCAAAAGTATTCTAAGGCAATGTGCTAGGTTGTAGGTATAATGCGTACCTAATAAAGTTAAATTAAAAAATATATATATTTAGAACAATATACCAAGGTCATTGTAAAACTTTCCTGCCAGCACTAACTTTACATGATACATTCTAATGGTAGTACATATTAATGAATTATTTTTGGAATGGAATTTTCATACACTTTTGCGAATCTATACAATTTAACGCTATATTTAAATGAATTATTTTTAATATTTCTAACTATTTACATTCTATATAATTTAAATATTTGTGTAAAGTCAAAAATACATTATTACCTTACACCAGATAAACTTCTTTATTATGAAATTTAAATATTTTTTAATAATACAACATAGACTTTTCTACCTGCTGTATAAACTATATTATTATTAATAAGTTCATTATAAAACTGTCCTGTCTGTACTAACTTTACATGTTACATTCTAACGGTATTAAATTAATGAATTATTTTTTAGAATCTAATTTTTATGCACCAATACGAAACTATACCTAAAGATACACTGTATAGGTACATTTTAATGGTAGGCACATTGAAAAAAAAATATTTTTGGAATCTAATTTTCATACACCAATATGAATGTATGAAGAAACATAATCGTAATAATATTATATAATTATATTTAAAAGTAATACCAATAAATATTAAAAGCACAAAACATCAAACACACTTAGTACACAAACAGTTATTAGACATCCTTAAATCATGAATAAGTTTATATAATTTAAAAATACATACAATATACTTTAGATCCATTTCAAACTTTTACTATTTTCACTAATAGCACAATAAATGATTGGTCTGGTTTACAGTAACCTGATGAATGAAACTATCGTCGTTGACGCTCTAAAAATAAACTGCCTGTGGTCCATAGTACGAAATTACTTAAGAGTGGGTACTAAGCCAGAAAAATTAACGATTAAACCCTCGCGTTCCGCACGGAGACCGCGGCGCTGTAGCACGGCGGTCGACGATATCACAAAATATATAATATGACGATAAAGCAAACACAATTTAAAAATTAATGTTGGGAAACGAATGTACTTGTTGCAAAACCCCCACCGTTGCAACGGTGGGGACCCGGCAGTCATTGCAGGCATGCGTTGCAGAGCAACGGTGGGGACCTTGCGGGGCAGGTGGCGGGCCAACCTTATGCTAGCGAACTTCACTGAATTTGCTATACAATACATGCGCGAGTGTGTTTAATAATGCTTATTTAACAAATTTTAAGTGGCGTTTTCGGAAAATATAATATTTATAATTGTAAATTTGTTGTTTTGAATTCGATTTAGCTATGTAAAAATTGGATGTAATATTAAAAATTGGCCTTTGTACCCGCTCTTAAAGCTTTATTGATAAACTCGTTTAGAAAGCTTCATTGTGATTAGATAAATGATAGTTCTAAACAATGCTTGATTTATAGTTTACTTTAACTTTCGAGGAAATAACGATAATTGGTAATTATTTTAATTTGTAAAACACTTCTCAGGAACAACCACATTAATTGCATTTTTAAGTCTATTAGGTATTAATGTACACCTAATTCAAAAAAGGTAATTAACGTGTTTTTGTAATAAACTAAATAATTTGTAATTATTTTTCGTACATAGTGGACCGCCCCAGGTTCGGTAGTAAGTACTACATCTTCGGACCCTATGTTGGTACTACTAACTTAGTAGTGGTAAGTTTATCTAACGGCCTGCTAGGTAGCGCTCTTAGATTTAATTCATATACAATTGTATTTGACACAACATATTCTTCACATACTTCTAAGGAAATTAAATGTTAACTCCATATCATAGTAGGGTGGTTTTAATGTAGATGGTGTATATAACTTAAACTAAGACTGAAAAACTTTAAACCTAAGTAATACCTATAAGTACATAAGTTTTCATACGATATTAGGATATTTTCAACTCTATCCATAATTAAACTTTAACGAAATATCAACTCTATTTAAAAACAAGCTTGAAAGAGCGTTGCTAGGCCCAGCATCCAATTCCATTTTCAAAACAGCCCCAAAGCATCATATTATTTCAATTTCATCAACATTATTATTGATAATCAATTAGGCAATTTCGTCGAGGTTATATAAACATAAAATACATATAACAATCGTTAAATATATACATACTTTGTTACACAAAAACTCATATGAATTTCATATTTATGAACTGACGTTTTACTACGTGTATTTTTACCGGACTGTCCGAGAAGGCAAACATTTCTATATTTTTGGTACGCTTTTTAGTGCAAACGGTTTAATTGATTTTAACATAATATGACCTCATATCGTTCTTGTTTGTAGGAGTGAGTTATGGTTTAAGTAATTTATTGACTTCTGGGATTTAAAAAACAGGGAGAACAAAACATATTTTGATATTATATCAATGTGGATATCAAATGAAAGCTAAAAAAGAGATTTCAATAAAAGTACTATTAGTATATAACACTTATGCTACCATTTTTTACAGAAACTACAAAAAAGTAAGTTTAATGTAAAGGCAGTAGGACTTTAGTTATTTGTTAGGCTTTAAGCTACTCATATTAGCGTCCATAATCTACAAAACAACACACTGGATCGGTCTTTTGTGGACCTCGGCTCATATAAAAGGTCTTTATCTATTAAATTGCCGTACTGGCCATTTCAAATCAATATAAGTAATTTTTGTTTGGCTAAGAATTCTAATTTCAAATTTATTTTATTTTAAAAACATGTACTTAATTCTTTTTTTTAAATTAGCCATTTGTTTTTGATTAGAATTATGTTTTCATTGCATTTGAATCTTTTTCGTCATCATAGATACGTTAAAAACTAGGGTAATTATGGAATATGACTACCATCGCGGCAATAACGCGGCACAAGCGGCACGCAACATCTGCGACGTTTACGGAGCGACTACAAACAAACGCACTACCTGTTATTGGATATTGGTTTACCAAAAAAATGAACCCCGAGGTCGTGCGAAAACTTTGGTCGACAATTACGAATTAAATGCGAATGTGGAAGCTGATGATACTCATCCTACGGCTGAATTAGCAGCAGCTTTCGACGTTAACATCGAAACAATATTGGCCAACTTGTAGCCTACTTTTTATCCGATTACGGAAATTCAAATACTTATAAGTTGATCATAAAAGCCAAAAATTAGTTTGTAATAATTTGATACTACGCCGACGGCTACGTTTCCTATGTTACGTTACCGACAAACTGTTGTATGTAATGGATACCTTTGTACACAAAACTGTGAAGTGTGGAGATTTATTTTCAAAATTTTACAAAAGCTCTTTCAATTTTTCTCCCGTTACTGATGAGGATATAAAAAAGTCAATTTCTTCCATCAAGTCCGCCGCAGTAGGCTCTGATGATGTGAGCAGAATCATGATCAATCTCATCCTCGATTATGTCTTACCAGTACTTACCCACATAGTAAATTTTTCATTAGATACTGGGGTTTTTCCTTCACTATGGCGAAATGCTTTTGTTCTCCCACTTCCAAAAATAAATAATCCTAGTTCTGTTTCTCACTTTCGTCCTATCTCTATTCTTCCTTTTTTATCAAAAGTACTTGAAGCTGTTGCTCACAGACAAATTTCTGACTACGTTTTTAAAAATAACTTTTTAAGTAGCTATCAATCAGGTTTCAGGCCAGGACATAGTACAACAACAGCCCTGCTTAAAGTTACGGAAGATTTACGTATAGGTATGGAGGAGTCAAAATTAACTGTGTTAGTTTTAATAGATTTCTCAAACGCTTTTAATGCTGTTGATCATGACATCCTTCTTACAATACTTTCTCACATTGGTTTCTCCTCATCAGCGCGGGAATGGTTTGCATCCTATCTTCAGGGACGTCAGCAGGCTGTTCGCGTGGGTCCAGTTATTTCTGACTGGTGCACGCTGGTTGCTGGCGTTCCTCAAGGCGAAATTCTCTCACCTCTTTTGTTTTCAATTTTTATAAATCTCGTTACATCTCACATTCGCTGCACGTACCATCTCTATGCCGATGACTTACAAATATATGCTCAGTCTGATGTTAACGATATCGAAGATACGATCACTGAGCTAAACTCTGACCTCACTCGTATCTCTGATTGGTCTAGCAAATTCGGTATTACTGTTAACCCTACCAAGTGCCAGGCAATTATAGTTGGAAGTAGCCGTCGCTTATCTACATTGGATTTTAATTCACTGCCACCTGTAAATTTTAATAATGCTGTCATACCTTATTCAGCTACTGTGAAAAATCTAGGACTTGTCATTGACAACAGTCTAAGTTGGCGGCAGCAAGTCACGGAAGTAAGCAAAAAAGTTATCAACACCTTGCGTTGTCTGTATCGACTCAAGAATTTTCTTCCAGTGAGAACAAAGGTAATGTTGGTTCAAACGCTCGTATTACCAATACTAGATTATGCAGATGTATGCTATGCTGATGCCTCTCAAGAACTTCTTAACAAACTGGATCGTCTTCTCAATAATTGTATTCGCTTTATCTTTGGCTTACGTAAATTCGATCACGTCTCTTCATTCCGTTCTCAGCGCAA